GAACAGCTCCCATGGCATTGCTGTAATGAGATTTCTCATATCACCAGAAAATAGTCCCAGCAGATGATACTTTCTGCTGTTGGGGCTGAATTATTTATTTTGCAGATGCATGTAAAGGCCACCATTGGATCTTGCTTAGTTCTTTGGTGTAATGCAAAGCAAACCTATCATGGAAAGGTAACCACTGTCCCAAGGAGGAAACAATCCATCCCTAATGTAGGAAATAGCAGATGGAGGCTTCCAAAATCTGTGGGGCAGCACAAGGTGAACACAAAGCAGTTATAGTTAATGTCAAATCTTCACTGAGTGTTCCTTAGTCAAAAATGCATTTATTATTACTATATTAGCCACAAAACTGACAGAGATGTGACTCCCTCTCCTTTTCCCTGGGAGATGACTACAAAACCCAGCCTACCCTCCAGGGTGACATCAATTCATGCAGGACTCACACCAGTGAGCATCCAGCACTTGCTTTCAGAAACATTTTCAAGAAATCATTCCAGAAAGATATCAATGTGATGAAAATTAAACTCTGGAAAAATATGAATTCCATTTTGTTGAGGTTTTTTTTTTCCAGCTGCATCCACAGCAGGGTTAGAGACAAATTACCCTGCACAGCCATTATAACAAAAATAAAAGACTCCACCTGAACATGGAAATTTGTGCAACACAAGCTACAAACTATTCAATTAGTCTTCAAGACCCATGGGCACACATTGACAGTCAAGTTGTGGTCATTGTGGGTGGGGTGACCTGTTCCACCTTGTATAACTAATAAGCTTCACTGGGCTGGGAATATGAGTCTGGTGTGCCTATTAATTGTGACATCCCCTGGACCATGGTGCCTATCTCACAGGCTGTAATAGGAAAAGGAAAATGTTTCAGCTAAAGACAGTGAGAAAGGGAGGTCTTCTATGGTCTGGGATGTAGGAATTCCCTGTCCTGGTTTCTAGTTTTAGTCAGAGTTTAATTATTGATACAAAAATAGATGGCTATAAATAGAAGAGACTGAGGATTATTCACCCTTACTCCTAGTTCAGTGGGTAAGTGGGCAGGAATTATGTGAGCCCTGAATTTCCAGTGTGTGCTTTTGCAGTGACACTGCTAGTTCTGAGGGGAAAGACATTCCTCTCCTCCCCTGCATAAGAGCTATGCAAGACAGAAAACACTCAAGAAAGAAAAAGGAAAAGAAAAAAAGGAAAAGGGAAAAGCTTGACAATTTCTTAGAGAATACTTAACACATTGAAAGCATCTTTTAATCCAACTCCAATTTTGGTGCTAACACAGTCTAATTTTCAGAAGTATTCACAAGTGTTGTCTCCCATCCATGTCAGCAAGAAGGGAATTTGAAGTGAAGATGAGGTCACAAGGCTTTAGGTTTTCTTCCAAATGCAGAAGAGTATAAAGCTTAGCTTTGCTTTGCCTGGCTGCTTGGTTTGAGGGGAGGCAGGAGATGGTGTTTGCTTTGCTTGAGGCTTTACTAGTGAATAAACTACTACCTGAATAATATTAAGTATTTTTAATTAGCTAGAAAGACTCAGAAATCTAAAATTTTCAACTTTTACTCTTATGAGCCCCATTAGTGACCAGTAAAGAAGGATAAATAAAAGGATAAACTAAGTTTCCCCAAATGAAGAAAAGCTTAGTCTTCTAAATGTTTAAGACCTTATACACCTTTCAGAAAAGAAGCTTTCATACTGCTCCCTGTTTTTCTACCCTCTTGAGATCTAATTCAACACTGAACTCAGGGGCAAGAAAGTATAAGCTTTTATTAGAAAATTTTGCTGAAGTAAACTATTGTTTACCATATGAAGCTGGCAAAAGTTCATATGAAGAGAGGAGCATCAAAGTCAGTGAAAATTTTTGTTAACAGTATTCACAAGTGAGTCTAAAATCTGGAGGCAACCATATCACTTGAATCTTTCACTGCAACAAGAGAAGAACAATTAGAGAATCAAGACTACTGTAAGCATGTAAAAGTATTGAGTAACACTTCCTTTGTATGCAACAGTTTGTTATACTAAAAGTCCAAACTTTTAGTATGAACAAAATACCTTCTATAAGCCTGGGAATTTTTTAACAACATCTCCCCACATTTTTTCTTCATTATGTCCATTTAACCCCATAGTCCTGGTAATGCTCTTTTTTTTCCTTTTTTTGTTTGGTTGGGGTTTTTTGCTTTTTGACAATCTTTCCCACATTTAAGAATAGTAAAGAAGATTTTTAAAAATAAAATTTATTGAATACATAATTCTGCTTATTTCTTTTTCCAAAGAATAGATATAAACACATACATACAATTTCACAAATTTTTTCTAATAATTTTTTTCTAAAACAGAATAGCTTAGTGCACCATTTATGTGAAAATATTACAAATGTTTATGTAATATTAAATTTATTACATCTTGGTCCTCACAATGTTATTCTCATTTGCTATTTGTGCTTTCATGTTACTCATTAAAATAACAGTCCTGCATCTCCTGACATGATGAGAAATTGCAGTTCTTACATGTTCTAGCAGGGACACGTTGCTGGACAGGAAAAACAGTATTCACATATAAATGAGTGCTCCTTCATTTATGAAATATTCCCCATACTTTCAAGTTAGCTTAGTCAATGTTCATTAATATTTTAATAAACTTAAATGACTCTTCATCCATTCAAAAATTTATGAACAATGACTGAGTGTGGGATTTGAAATCTCATTGAACGGATTTCACTGTTTCTATTTATAAAAACATTCATGGATAACGTTCTGGATATAGTTACCATCTTCAGCTCTCACTTTACCCTTCACTGGGTAAAGGTAGGATTCAAAAAAGCATACTCTTACTGCAACATCTGCAGGCACAGATGAAAGCTAGGCTCCATTTCAGTCTGCTGGAATGGTATAAATTAGGATATAAAGTGAGAGAGGACCCCAGCACCAAAGGTGAAAATTACAGACAAAAGGAAGGAGAAGCACAAAATTGGGAGAATTCTGGGAATAATTCTGAGCTAGATGTGCTTTTCTTGTAACTAATTCTATGCAGTCACATAATAAAGGTTGTTGTTATCCTGTATGAAGACAGAAGATAAAGTTATCTAATATCAGTCTGGGCACGCTTCAAAACTCAAGGAAAGAAAGAGTATTAGCAGTGGGATCAGTATCAAGACACTCACTGATAAGGATGACAGGCCTTACAAAACCTGGCACCCAAGAGCCCTGTCTCACCCACGCTCTTGGCACTCCCTTCCTCTCACTCCCTAAGAAGCCTGAGAAGCCCGCCAGATCTCCATCTCAGCATCTCTTCATTCCAATAATCCCAGGAACACTGTCTTCAAATTTTTAATAAATTAATCAAAACCAGTGGTAACCTTTAATTGATTTGGGTAAGAACTGGTCAGGCCTTTCAGCTGGGAGAAGCGTGAGGCAGGAACTTCGCATTTCTTCATGCGGTAATTGTATAATAATTAATAAAAGTAAATTAGATCAAATATAACTTAGAGAAAACCACTCTCCTGAATTATGGCTGTTGAAACATAGCCAGAGAAGCACTTTCAGGAGCCTGCTTGGCTGTGCAGTGCAGATTTAATTATGATGTTTAGACATGGTCTACTACAGAGATACCTGCTGTAGCTTGGAAGCTACAGCAGAGCTCAGACACGTGTGTCACCAGTCAGCAAGACAGGAGTGCAGTGAAGAAGCACCATTATGGGAATGAATATGGCTTTTCCTTCAGAGGTTTGTGTAAACCGTTTCTTTAGTTCGGACCCAGGAACATAAAAACCAGTGATTTAAGTCTGAATTCTAGGTTTCAGAGAAATTTTGTCAAAACTCATCCTTGCACAGTTTTCCTGCATTAAAACATTACTTACATGATTTTGCAGATTCTCAGTGATCTGGACATAAAATCCATCAGTCCATCTAACTAATTCACCAGGTACTACATTCTTTCATCTCTAAAGTTTCTTCTGACATACAACTGTGGAGATACAGCAAATAGCTATAGAATCTACTAATAAAAGTTCAGTGTGACAATCTCATAATTTTAACAAAAGTAAATAAAGACTGTTCACTGTTAGCACCAAGTGCTAACTTTAATATACTTTTTTTCTGATCTCAGGAAATTGAATCTAAAAAGCAACCCAAATTTTCTTTTCTACTACTGATAAGGTGTTTTCTTTTATTTTGCTCTGTTTTTTTGAGATTTTTTTTTTAACTAATGAAAACAGGCAATCCTGTATTTTGTTTCACATTGCTTCCCTGGGGCAAAGATAAACTTCACTCTTATCTGTTCTTTTGCTGTTCCTAGAATGATTGCTCAGTTCATTATATTGTTTGATGTTGGCATCTCAGCTTTCCAGTGCTTGATTTGTTCACTTCATTCTCAAAGTTATTAGGCTCTTCATTCCAAAAATAAGCTGATTTTCTCATTTAAAAACTAACGTCATCTTTGTGTATCATAGATTTACAGTTCACAACAATAATAGATCATGGAAACTGACATAAAAGATTAAATTATGAAAATGTATTTCACTTGCATAAAAAGGAAATGAATGATAGTCCCATGTAAGTGAATACAGATCATTACTGCACAAAGATCATAATCAATAGATACCAATAAGTCACCTGAGTTACAGCCCTCACAAGTTCACAGAATGCTAAGAAACAAAACTTGTGGATTATGAGATGGAGTGTAGCCAGCACACTCTACTCTCCCAGCGTGTACCCACCCAACTGCACACTGGATTCACCTCTGAGGAGGGAATGATGATGACTGTATCTCACCCTCTACACCTGTGCACAGGGATTCTGGAGCACAATAGGGATCAGAATGCTGTTTCTACCATTTTGAGTGATCAGTCCCTTCCAAAAACAAATACAGTTAAGACACCACTGTTTTGGGGGTTTGTTTTAAATAATTTTATTATTTATTATATATTATATAATAGATATTATAATATATAATTTATTATTTTATTTCTCAGATGGACTTACATGTGACAAGTAAAAATATGGTGACTCAGCTGTATTTTGACTTGAACTTTCAAAACTGTAAGTTTTCTTCTTGAAAACACTCCTCCAGACATCCTCTGCAATGGTAAAAATAAACAGAAGTCCTTAAACTCTTTCATAAGATATTTTCCAAGTATAAAAGAATTGCTAAACAAAGCAAACAATCCCAAAATAAAATCTCCAATCTGCTGTTATGTGTTAACATAATGGTTTTCTTATGTATCTTTAAACACCCACCAGAAATAACAAGGAACATTGGGATTGTCTTTTACAATGCAATCTTTATGTAATGGCTAAGCTTCAATTTCATATGGAAGAATGTACCACACAATAGCCTGACAGAATGTCACCTAGCTTTGTCTTTTTAAATGCTCACCACAAATCCTACAAGATCATGAGTGCCCAAAGACTAATGCATTAGTAAAGCTTAGAGGCCAAGATCCACGCTGCCTTCCCAGGGTAAAGGAGCTTGAGCACTGCATGGGGAACTTGTTGCAACAGCTCATCCTCTTTGGTCTATATGCACACAGCGTGCCAGTCTACCGCTTGGCTGTGCAGACAAAATCAATGCAGAAGGAAGGGTATCACACAGTTCTGCAATATTTGGAATCCCAAAAAGTCAGTATCAAGGGGTTCTCCACTACCATTTCAACCTTCTTGTAAAGATACCACCATGAATCCTCCTGCCACTTGAATTAGCAAGCTGATACTTGCACACCTGCTGAGAGCAGCTCAACTAATAATGATAAGCAACTCCCAACTAATGCCACAGCCATCCTGAGCATGAATATGGGCTGAGCACACAGTACTGGCTTTAGGCTGTGGGTGTGCAGGCATCTAAGGCACACTCGGTCCTTCCCCTGTGTACTTAGAGGCTGATGTTGCTCTGACACTGTGAGCTGTTCGGTTCAGTGAGCAGGCATCAAACCAAGATGCTGTTCATTATGGGGAGTTAATTCTATGCTTTATCAGTGAGCTGAACTTAGTTCCTGCTGCCAAATTAGGAGTACAGTTCTGTGCTACTCCTACTAGAAATGGGTAGGCTCTGTTCACATTTGTTTCCTTACGCATCTTGTAGGTCCACAGTACAAAAGTGGAAAGAAAGGCACCTTCCAACCAAAACTCTACTAGGATGTCTAGGTTGGCAGCGGTAGGAAAATAGACATCAACTACAAATTGGATTGCAGAACAATGCCATAAATGCTTGTTAAAGGAAAACTTGCAACAACCATCCTGCTAATTAAACATTTTAAACAGCAGGAGAAGGTCAATCATCTATAGCTGATATTTATTCAAATTTACAAATATCCATTATGTAATTTCAGCAACCAGAAGTATGCACTTTTACAGAGATGAAAGCAATTTTGTCCTGGTTTGCAACACTCATGCTGCACACTTACATTTCCTTTAAGGATGCTCTTCCCAGCCATGAACTCTGCTCTCCAGGAAGGATCAGATGAACAGCATGAAAAGTATGAAGTCTGAAACTATTATGACAAGGTATCAAGTATCATGTTAATATGCAGGGTCTGTCAGAGATTAATTTTAATGCACAAGCCCTTGGGTCACATCAACATCACAGAGTTTTCTGGGTCACCAAATTAAAAGGCATGGCATCATCTCCTTTTGACACAGAAGCAGTTCATTAGAAATATTTGCCTAGATATAGGAAAGTAATCTTGGTCAGGCATAAGCTTTGAAAATTCTTCTTCAAGTTATGCTGGCTTGAACAGAGATATCTTCTGGGAAGAAAAGTCAAACTTGAAAATTAAACTAGATTAAAGTTCTCAGCTGGACTTTGTTCTCAGAGGTGAAGTACACTCTGAGAACGTATAAATTCCCAGCATATCCTGTACAGACCAAAAATGTTGATTTCTGATAAGTTTCTGAACCTACTCAACCTCTGATTTATCTTAAGAACAATATTGGTGGTCATTCAAGAATGATTAAATTTTCTCTCCAAATAGTATTCTATTCCAAGTGTCAATTTTGATGAATAGTCTATCAAGTCATGACAGTCAAAGAGCTGAAATAACTCTATCATCACATGATGTTTGTCATTAAGAAAACTATTTGTACTTTCTTGAGCATCACATTCATTTGCTTCTATTTGTGAGCAGAGCTACACAAAAGTATTGGAATTTCTTGCATGATCTAAGCAAATTACTTGTCAACTGTAATCAGAAAGGTTATATGTTGCAGAAAACATTAATTCACTCCTTTTCATAAAAGTTGTTTCAAATATTTTTGAATGTCTACAACAAGATAATTAGAGCTCAAGGCACTACTACTGTCAGTCTTCACAATAATCACCAACAACATTAGCAGAAAATAAATGAGATTCTAGTGTCAAGTTACCTGAATATAAAAAATATTGCAGCTGATAAAAAAAAAAAAGAAAACCAATCAATATAGCACAAGAAAATAGTGATTTCAAGTACAAGACTATGGAGAGGATGATCACAGACATCCATCAGATACCTTCCAAAATCTTTACTGTATCTGAATGGAGACTATACTTGCACATTAAGCTGTTTCAGTCTTGTCTCTTACATGTCAGCAATGGCAAACTCAAGGACTCAGCACAGAGCTCTGAAGTTGATCAGAGTTTGCAGAGAAGATTGCCTTGTATGTGTGACACAGCAAAAAGATGGCAGAAAATGTTACTGAAATGTTTATTTAGCCATAATGATGTTGAGAACATCAGTCAGTTTATACCAATGTCACATTGTTTTGCCATTGTTTTACTTTTCCAGACCTTTTGCTTGGTCCCTTTTATGTCAGTGCCCTTAAAATTGAAAAGTGACCAAATATTTATACTAGTCTGTAAGTGTATTCATAGAATTTTAACTTTAGACACTAAAAAAAAATAAATTCACATTTTAAAAAGTGGAAGTTCATCAGAAATTATAACTGCATACTTAATTTTTTTTAAAATTACTTTCATTACCCATTCTTTGAGAGAGAGGTTGATATGGCATTCAAAGTCACAGCTTTTCCACACAAAGTCATTGTCAGTATAAGTTGTGTTGCCAGTACCTTCAAACTGAGAGACACATGGCAAGACATTGTCCACTCTTCTTGCACCCAGTTCTGCTGCGCTCTGTTCTTAAGAACAATCCTGATAGCTTTAAAGTTTGCACACCCACTCCATTTTGTGAAAGCCCTAAGTACACCTCAAAGTCCTTGTTTGTCCTTGGACAGATACTACTTTCATTATTCTTATGAACAAGCCCCAGACAGTTGTGGTGATTTTGACTAGTTTCACTGCTCTTCCCATACACCTACGAGTAGACAGAATAGTCTAGCAGTCACTTAGATAGGACTCACTAATTTCGCTGATGATAAAATACAGTTATCCACACCACATTTGTAATACATCACCTAATTAGTGATATGTAGGAGATCCCAAGGGATAAAGAATTTTCCTACATTCTTCACAGCTCTTCTCTGGCTAATGTTTGTCCTTCTCTCTCCCAAAAAAAGAAATCTGTTCTACCAGATGTTGAAACAGACCACACACCTTCAGAGAACACTAACACTCAATATTTCTGAGCTTGTGTGACATGACAGTTTACTAGCAGGATACTGTTCCAGGATATTTCAGTCTCCGTGTAATGCTACTGCATCCAATCACCTTTTTTAATTTATTAAAATAAAAACCAAATAATAAAAGTATCTTATCAACTATGTATTTACAAATTATGGTGTAATTATCTATTTCAGATCTGAAAGAGAATTTTTAAAAATTTCCTGTTTACAAAGATATAAAAGAGTTCAGTTAAAGCCATCTATTTTTCACTTTGTCCCCCAGAGCTTTCCTTTCGTCCCATCTAGTTAAAAAGCTGTGGGGATGCTTGGACAGTTGGATACAATTCTCAGCTGTGATCTTCTCATAAATCCATTTCACTGACTGAGGACCATCTCCAAATGGATTTATAAGTATGTACCCATTTTCCCTTAGGAATTCCTTTTTGTAGTCACACTTCCCTGAGGACTAACTGTGATTCATATGTGTGATAATTAATTACAATGTCACAATATTCTTCTCCCAAGGCAACCAGCTGACCTCTAGCTCACTCTAGAAACACAAATATTCCTTGGGAATGGCTAGGCAGAGATATCTCCTGGCTGGACCACAAACAGAACATGCAGATTTCAAATAGAACAGATTTCACCAGTGGGTAAATAAATTAATAAACATTTTCCTGAGTGTCTTGCAAGGCAGTGTTCAGGCCTCAGCCTGTAACTTTGGCAGACTGAGAAAAATCCCATGCCAGCATATGAGAGAGAGAGAAACATCTAAGGTGCTCAATACTAGCTGTGGAGAGAGAACCTTAGCCAGAGTAAGACACGAATTTTCAGGTAATAATGATCCTAGGACTTGTGGTGCATTGATGTAAGACCTCTTTCACAACAGTGGATTGGAAGGAACAGATATCTATAGGAAAAAAAATAGAAAATTAATCAAGCTGCTGCAAAATTGCGGACGAAAACACAAGTATGAACTTAGAAATGGTTAGGAAAGAGTTGTGCTAGTTAGTTATGCTGCAGGATATCTCTGCATCCATATAAATTCCTGCCTTGAACTTCTTCCAAGCAGAGGTGCAGGGAGAGTAACGGCAGTTTTGAAAGCTGCATTTGTAATAATTTTTGCCTTTGGTATTTGAGGTCAAAACCTGGTGTTCCTAGTTCAACTGATATTTCCAGCTAGGTTAGAGCAATAAAGATAAAATTATTATTTGTCTAGAACAATTTGTCTTTGCTATTAAAATGACAAACAATGACACTGTTGCAGTCAGTAAGACAGAGACAAGACTCTAAGAGCCAGCTTAAGGTTTTGAGGCAGATAACATAAGCCTGCCAGGAAGGAAGAAGCCTTATGAGCTGGGTGAGGACTGGGCTATTCCTTTTTAGGTAAATGGTTGTTGGGAACAGAGAAGAGGGAGAAGCAGCAGGCATTTGTTGGAATATAAAAGGTAACTGAAGTAACCTCTGTGAGGATCTCTGTCCCTCCTTTAGCAGTAGGTAACACCTCATTCGCCCATTAATTGAAGGTAATGGTAACACTAGCTGACAACCTGACTTTTTAGCGTTCCTGATTAGATAAAGTGGTCTGTCTGCTTTGGTCCACCATAAGCAGTGTGCCTAATTTGCGTCTATTTAGAGGCAGGCCTGTCCTTTATTATCAGATAAAGGAAATAATTTTGATTTCCAGGATTGCACTGCTGTCATATAGCAGAGCCTAAGAATCCATCAACCAGAAATGATGCTCCACTCAAACAATTTATGCAAGTATGTGGGAACAGGATGAAGTAGTGCCATTAAACAGTCCTATCAGCATCACATTGCACCATCCAGTCGTGCACTTTGCAATGAAATAATAACCTCAGAATTACCTTGTGCATTGGTAGTGCAACTTCTTAAGTCATGGGCAGTTCACTACTGCCAAGAGGCCAAAACTGCACACAGGTTTTTCACTTCATTTACTTGCTTCTAGCAAAACACTCTTGAAAAGGCACAAAGTGTGCTGTATTCAGTTATGACATGAATAATTTCAAATATTTAGCATGCTTCTAGATGGATTTAAATAGTTATTTTCAGATTCCCCTGTTTGTAAGCTCTGAGACCCCTCACTTTTTCCACAAATATGTGATTACAGCCTAAAGAGAAAACCTTCTCTCCAAATTAGAAAATGTTTCAAGATTTTTAGTAGATTATCTGAAATCCAACAGTAAATGTACTTGTAAAGCACAATTCAACAGTCTGCCAGACAGGGTCTTGATAAAGCAATGTGGAGGAGGAAGATGAGGGAATGTAAGAAAGAAAAAAGAGTACAAATGTACTGCATTCTCAGTTCAAAGGCAAATAGAAGTTCAAAACAGATCAAATGGTTAGAAAGTCCTTTCTTTTAAAGGCAACAAAAAGCATTAGTTTTCCTTTTACATAACTGATCTGTTGTTAGCTTTTCTGTCACCATGGAGACTCCCATTGCTGCTGCTGCTGATTTTGTCTAACTGCTCAGTACATGTTTGTATCATCACCTAATATCAAGCTGACTCTCTGGTAGAGAAATTCATATTTATTATTAATTATTGTCAGTCTAAAAAAAAATTAATTTCACTTTCTTGTGTTGATTTTTTCCATTGTTGCTTACTTTATATCACACAAAAATTCCTATGAATTTACTTTCCTTAATCTCTCTCAAACACAAGTTCAGGGTTGATACAAGTGTAATGAAGGCACTGCTGCTTTCACTGCAGGTGAAAGCTGGTTTTATTCTTATCTTCCAATTATCTAATCCTGTAGAAAAAATTACAATGATTTAGTGTGGTCAGCTGAGAATATGATGTCTGAATGCCTTCCTGAAGGCAGGGGTAGAGACAAAACACTAAATCTCATTGAACCCGCATTTAGTTTCTTCATGGTAAGAGCAGAGAATGACACAATATCTGATATTCTCTAACAAACACTGTCCGATGTACTT